AAAAAAAAAAAATCGATACAGGGCTTTAGAATATCGATACCGTATCAGGAAATGAAATATCACGATATTTCAGTGTATCGATATTTTCTTACACCCCCACTAAATATAATCCTAAAATAAAATTCTGAGGCACTTTTTTGGAGGATTAGCAACAAAAAAAAAAACAGATTTTAACGAAAAACGCCTAAAAATTTTTATATTTTCACTGTGAGCTAGCAAAGTTTATGTTTCTTTCCAGTTAATAAATTTCAATATTTAAATACTATTTGAGGTTTTCTCTTTATAATGAAATCAAAAATTCCAAACCAAATATTAATGTATCATCGTAACCAACAAAACAAATTAAGTCATATCTCTGGATCCATTTATTATATCAGGATGATCTAAGTATCAAAATGTAGCTTTTAAAGCCATAAATCTGAAAATGTGATTGGGTCACTTTGACCAAATTTGACTTAATCCTCACTTTGATATGATGGGTTACATTTRTACAAATAAATGATCTAACAAAGTGTTTGTTGGGGTAAATAAAATCATTTGGATTTACTTTTAATTACAAAACAATAAACCAACCTTAGCAAATTTAAAAAAGGGTCTCGGGTCCCGTCTGAAGTACTCAATATCAAACATGGACTGAGGATCCGGAAGGTCCGGAAAATCGACAGCGAGCCGAGCATAAATTCCATCCCTGGACCGAAAGTCTGGTATTCCACACGAAACCGAAACCTGCAACCCGACARTGAAAACACTTATTAAATTAATTTAGCACAACGTTTCAAAGATCACTCGATTGTTTCGGCGTACCCCGGCGCCGGTCAGCACCAGGATCCGTTTGCTTTCGTGAAGCAGCCGGACAACATCTTCTAAGGAGTTAACATCTTTCCGCTTCTTTCTCTTGGGCGGTTCTGAGATGTTGATGATGATCTGCCACAGCGTCATGTCATCGAGATCTGGGGGGAGTATGGTCTCAGGAAGAAGGTCCCTCAAAATGGCTCTGGGGTCAGTTTCTCTGATGTGTTGCTGGATGAAACTGTAAGAACCTGGTCGTAAAAACACAACATAAATACACAAACAGACTCACAACAAGCGGACGTTAATCGGCGCGTGAAGCTACCTATTTGTGGTTGAGGAGTCCAGTCGCTGGAGCTGGCGTGAGACGACTTGTCGTCGTCGATGTGCTCCGGCGTGGCAGCGAGCCCGTTGGAAGGCTGATCGTCACGTCCCAGAAAATCTGATCAAAAAAGACAAACGATTCAACAGAAGGAGGTGTAACGAGATTAAAATGACACAAATTGAAAACTTTCTCGCAAAATGATCAGTGAAAATGTCTCCGCAACTTTATGTCTCCTGCAGCTACATGTTGAGGGGAAGAGTCTCTGTCAGAAAGACTTAAAGTACCTGTGAAATCAAAATTTTGTAATAAACTTGGATGCATTTTTGGAAAGAYAACATTAATAACATGTTGCAAAACAAATTTCATGTCGCTGAGATGAACGGTTGCTGATATTTTGGTATGTGAAGAAACAGGAAGTGATGTCAAAGGGGAATGTCAGCATGTAAACAGAGTGTTGTTATAAAAGCTAACAACAGACTGTAGAGAAGAATCTGATGTTTCTTTAGATTATTTTTAGTACTGTACCAAACGATTATTTTCTAATTGATTAATCGATTATTCTAACAACAAATCTAAAAGTTATTCTGATGTGAGTGCACTGGATTTTTAAAATGTTTTCATCAAATTAACAAGAACAGTTCTTTAATATTGTAATATTTTCTGTAATAGTTTTTTCATGGACACAAAATATGCACTCTAGAGTCAATTCTTTAACAAAAAAAGCTTAAAAGATTTAACATCAACATAAATTCCCAACCAAAGCAAATAAAATTCAACTAAAAGAAATATAGTGCAAGATGTTAACAATCATCATCATCATCATCATC